TATATATATATATAACAAAGATGAGATAAAGGTTACCGGCCAATAACGAGTAACAAGAATGTTGAAATATAAAAATATAATATATTATTAACAATGTCTCAGTACGTATAATCGTAACAAATTCTCACACTTATTGTCTCTTACACGGTTTTACATTACGGTTACTTGAAAACATTATAAATTGATTCTACATTTATTCTCATTATTACAGCTCAGATGCATTTTTTTAACTGTTGACTCTTTATTGACGTGCAGACTTCGCTGACTGACTCGATTCATTCCCATTGTCGACTGAGGAATAAATCATGGACCCTTTCCGACTTTTAAGCAAGTTTTTTAAAAATGCGCTTCGATTCTGTTTTTTTTCGTTTAACAATATTACGATAATCCTCGTTTCTCATCTTTGGATTAAAGACCGTATTTGTACAGCGCGATTGCGACTTATAACATTATTACCTTACTTATTTGGATGTGAAAATGCGTGATCCTTGTTTATTCGTTTATTTAATGTAATTAATTAGGCTGATGAAGAAAGAGCAAAAGCGCGGTGTTGCCGAAACGTCCCATTTTAACATTGTTAATAATATATATTTTTAAATTTCAACATTCTTGTTGCTCGTTATTGGCCGGTAACCTTTATCTCTTTATTTTAATTTATTCGTGAAATATCCGTCATAGAATTCCTAATAACTGAAAAAAGTGCACGAATTTTATATAACCCACAAATGACTGTATAAGATTCGTTTTTTGTTATTTTGTAGCTTCGTACATCATAAACAAAATGAGTCTTTGATATTTTGTACCAACAAATAGATATCTATTCAGTTATTAATTTACCCGTGAAATATCCGTCATAATATAAATTGTAATAACTGGAAAAAGTGCATGAATTTTATACAACCCACAAATAATTGCATAAAATTCGTATTTTTTTTATTTTGTAGCTTTATACGTCATGAACGAAATAAATATTTGATATTTTATAACAAAAAAATATATATTATTAATTTAATCGTAAAATATCCATCATAGATAGAATCCATAATAGAACTGGAAAAAGCGCACAAATTTTATATAATTCACAAACGATAACTGAATAAAATTCGTACTTTTTTGTAGCTTTGTAGCAGTTAATATCTATTTGACGCAATTCGAGTTGCAATTAATAAAATTTGTATTTTGCATACAAATTTGTATTTTTCTTGATTCTGTATCCTTTTACTTTATTGATAAAAGGAGCAACAGTTCTAAAATATTTTGTACGTAAATATATTAGTATATTAATTATATTAATTATAAATTATATAATTTTAAATGCATGTAACTTTTTTAAATAATTTTAATATCTTTAGAATTTTATTATTTTTTGAAATATTATAAACCCACGCTAATAATAATTACTACTCACTACTACTTACGGTAGCATAAGGGCCTCCGCACAATGAAAAATATAAGGAACAAGGAACCGATATTAGCTATTGGAAATATAAGAAATCAGGAATAAAAAGTTGGTGTAACATTAATACACGGCTTCCGATAGGTTAAAAATCTATTGTCTGTGTTACTTCCGTTGCCTGTATTTTTCATTAAGCGTCGTCTACAATGGCAGCAGGAGTATGCAGTAAGACGTAAGCAGTAAGCTATTGACCAACCACAGTCGATTATTCTTGAATTGTAAAAATCCCATTAGTCAATAACTTACTGCTTACGTCTTACTGTATACTCCTGCTGCCCTTGTAGACGATGCATATTGCATCCAATTTCATTTTTGATTCTTTAGTCCTAATCGCTAATATCTGTTCCTTATATTTTTCATTGTGCGGAGGACTTAAGAATACGGATAATAAGAATATCATATGTCGTCTTTGTCGTACACAAAAATAACTTCGCGATTAAAAGCTGTATAATAATTTAATGGAGCATGCAAAGACCTTGATGTTCGTGACATATGTAACAGTCAGATCCTTGGAACTTTTTCAAGCAGAGACGCAATCGGACCACGTTCACGCCGCAACAGCTTCAGGAATTGGAATCCCTTTTCCAGAAAACGCATTATCCCGATGTTTTCCTCAGAGAGGAAGTCGCACTTCGGATATCACTCTCGGAAGCACGTGTTCAGGTGAATCTTCCTTGCGATCACTTCATTCCTTCATTGATTTCACTCAGTTCTTCAACTAGTTCTTTGTTCCTCCTATTTTCCGTCAAGAAAAATTTACTTACACAAACTTAATTACACAAACTTTCTCTAATATCGTATCAATTACATCGCTGAATTTTATTTCAATTGATAAACAAAGCACGCTGTCGAAAAAGTTTAATAATTGAAAATAAATTAGATTATAGATTACATAAGTAAAGGAAGAAATTTTTTGCTTAATAAGAAATTTCAAACAAAATATTTTAATTTTTCGATGCACTTTATCAGAAATATTTCTTGATTTACTAAAAATCAAAATTTAAAAAAATTTTATTAATAAACAAAAAATTTAGATTAACATTCGTTCTGAAATTTATATAGTAAATTCAGATATCTTTTAATTTCTCTGCTTGGTAGAAAGACAACCCTTTAATTCAGAAAACTACGGTAAGAAAACTTACAACCTCAAAATCTACGAAATACGGCCTTCCAACAGATTGCTTCGTTCTCTAAAACCGTTCACTAATTAAAGCCCAAATAAACTGTTTGTAGGAAATACGCGCGGTTTATTCTCATTCGCGAGTCCCGGATTAACTCGCTAATGATCGTAATTGCGATGGATCTAATTTTCCATTAGTCGCGCTGTTATTTTGTATATTATCATACAAACATCGGCAAAATGTGGTCGTTCACAAACAAAATATCAACAGAAACTAATTAAAATACGGGGAGCACAGAGTATATTGAATCGATAAATTTTCTTCCAATTTAACACGTAATTACAAAAGAAGATCAGAGATGAGTGAATTTTCATCAAAATTCTTTTATCTTATTTTATTATAGTATACATACAAATTAATATTCGTATAAAATTTACCGTGTATCTAATTATATATTTATTTCAATTATTCATTAACGAGCAAACCAAAAATTGCTTTATAATTGCATATCATGTGTCTCGAATCTCAAGATACGAAAAAACTATGAAAAAATAGTCTTTATTATATACTATCAATTGTTTTTATTTAAACTAATGAAAACTTTCGTTGCGTGTAAATTGCAAAAAGTGATGTTTAACTGGATCGGATTTAAATTCACGAAAAAAACATGACTGCAAAAAAATTAAACTTCAAAGCTAGTAGACTTTGCCCAATCAATCAGTGATCGATAGGATGCGGATTGTTCAATCAATTAATTTTCTTGCGATTCCAAGTGTAGAAGTCGGACCAACGGCTTTCAATCGCGCGGGGTCAAGTCAGCGCAGATGTTTCGATTCATTAATGATATCAGGAATACGAACAAAACTGGCTCGATTCGCGATCGTATCACAAAGGCTGTGCGTACATCTGGCTGCGATAGAGGCTATTACACGCGGGCCATTGTGCGAAAACGATTAGGCAAACGCTGATGAAATGAACCGGGCGAACAACGAACACGAGCGGCCGCGAGAAACTCGGAAGTTCACCGAGAGTAAATTCGATTAATGCTTTCGAATCTCCTCACCCGCGAATCCCGTCAGAGCGTGTTAAAGGGTAAACTGTACGGGGTATTTATAGTAATTGGCTGTGCAGCACGGATCTCCGTGCGATGAGAATAAAGTGATTGCAAAAGTAATTTTCCGAAAAGATGCGGCATAATTACTTTTTTCTAAAAGACGTTTCAAGTCGATTGTAGAACCGGAATTAAAATTACGATGAAAATTTGAATAGAATTAATACAAAATTTGCTTTAGATCAAATGCGATCTTAATTATGCAAATCATTTGGAAGCATACTTTTTTGGTCTCTTTGTGAGGCAAAAAAATAATAAACAAAATCTTTTTGATAAGGTGCGATATTCGAAATATCGAAATTTGTGCTGAATGAGTATCATTTATATTGGTTGAATATCTGAATTTTTTGGTCTCTTTGTGATATAGCAAAAAATAATAAATAAACTTTTCTTGACAAGTGATATTCGAAATATCGAAATTTTTGCTGAGTAGGTACTTATTATCCAAATTAGTCGAATATCTGAATTTTTAAATTCGAATTGTACAAATAGTGATGGCAGATATAAGGCACGTATGCACGCATGATCGCTTTTGCTCAGCGGTAATTCATGTCTCACCTTAACATTCGCCATTTTCTCGCCCCGCGGGGAGGGGAGGGGGCGAAATTACGGCAACGATCAGTCAGGTCAGCGGTTCCTCCGCAGGTATGGTTTCAAAACAGACGGGCAAAGTGGAGAAAGCAAGCTCGGTTACAATTGCTGCAGGACGCGTGGAGAATGCGATGCTTAGGTTTAGGGAGCGCCACGCCGCTGCTGCTCGGCCGACCACCCCCCGGCGGCCTCGAGAGGACCACCGCTGCCGTCACCGATGCGTCCTCGACTTCGCCGTCGTCGGCTCTCACGGGCTCGCCGAACGCGACCGACAAGCTACCCGAGATTGGTGGTACCGTGTCGGTCTGCAGAGATTTTAGAATCCTGCCTCCACCGCCACCCGGGTAAGCGTCCTGTATACAGAAATATATTTTAAGTAATTATATAGTAATATAGTAATTTATCACATCAATTTAATTATTATTTTTCTTACTGTACTTTCTCTTGGTGAAATGCGCACCTTTCTAGTTCACAAATTTGTTAAATAATATCTAAGAGAATTATAATAATGATTAATTATAATAATGATTAATTTAAAAAAAATTGTTAAAAAATTTATAAGACGAATACGCGTTATATCTATGTATTTCCAAATAATCGATAAAAATTTGAATTATACATTTTTGCGTAAATTAGTTATCAGACGTCTACGACGATTCCAGTTTGCGTATAATTATCCATATAGTTCATCTGATACTGATTTTTATTGTATAGCTAGATATCGCGTACCTCATAGTGATAAGAAAATAATAAATAAAAACACGATTTAAATTTCTAATTGTGATGCATCGTGATTACGTTTGTCACAAAAAACTTATGACTTTGAAATCACAATTATACCTGCAAATATCATTCTAGAGTCTAGACATATAAAACACGCGGAAGCGGAATAGCCATGCAAGAGAAAGATAAAGATAAATAAAAATAATATGTATTTTGTTGTGCCGAGTCTGGTCAACCAATATTAAATTTGTCCCTAAAAAATTATTAATTAAACAAATTAAATAAAATATAAATTAAATAAATGAAATAACTGATAAAATAAAATTTAATTATCAAGCCTTAGCAATTATGAAGTTATCAAAATACATGATGAATTTTGTGATGATAGTTATATACTTATGGTACAAAATAATTCGCGTCGATGCGAATTCGAGACAAACACGTTACGATTTCCTTTATCCTTCGAAATTGAACTTAAAATTGAATTTTTCATAATAAATAAAATTACTTACGCTACTACTAGCATTTGAAATATTTAAATTATCGAATATACGATTCTCGCAATGATACCCTGCCTACGATACGAAATAAATCACAACGAGGAAATAAATCAGAAAAGGATTAATAGTAAAATTCAATTTTGTAATCTTCTTTTAAGATTGGATTCTTCAGCATGTATTTTGTAGGAAACTGATATTCCGCATCTTAATATAGATTTATTGGAACAAAAAAATGTTCCCCACAGGTAGATTTTACATTATTATTACCCGGGGACCGTTACTTCCCGTTTCATTCGTGTTTAATCAAAAGGATGTTCGCTCTTTTTATCGATTAATATTACTAATATATCACCAGACAAATCATCTCATACAGCACAGAAACTTGCAGCTTATTGCAACAACATTTCACAAAATTTATGCAGTCTTGCGATCTTACGATGAAACTTTTCCATAATACTGTTGTGGATATAGAATAAAAAATTTAAACCAATATCTTGAGTTAAATAACATTTTGTTATTTTTAACTACCATGTGTGTCGAAATTTATTATTTTAAAATACAAAACAGTATTATTCTAACTCCATTAGCTTAGTTAAATTAATATTGTTTTAATTAAATTGAAGATATATTGAGAAAGAGCAATGGCGACCTAAATATAATGGCGAATGATTAAAACAACTCAAGCTGAGTATAATTTAACAGTACGAATTTAATATAGTGAATGTGTTCCTGTACAATCTTGCTGTGCTGTATGGGGTTTGTCTGTCTGACGTGGCGCCGTTGCGCGTTTCGCAGATACTCGGTACCTTGCGACAAATCGCCTGATAGGATCAAGTGCCGATGCGGAACGCCGCCCAGGATCTGCGCGAGCCCCGTGGACCGTGGCGACGGCCTGGCGACGAGGGAGCGGCCGCAGGAAGCCGAGATGGATCTCACCCTGAAGGGTCACCATCCAGCGTCCGCCAGACATTCGTTATTCCATCACTTGCCGAGCAACCACCAGCAGCAGGACATCGCGCAGAGCATGGACGAGCCTCTGGACGTCACGCTCAACAGCGGCAAGAACAACTGAGGGCCGGATGAGCGAGGACGGTCCGCGATCGGTCAATCTTACTCGCGAAGACATTTCACCCTTCAAAATCTCTTGACTTTTAAGTGCACGGTGTAATCACGTTTGACAGCGAATAACACGCGAGGTAATGCATATCGTCGAACTCTCTCTGCATCAGTTCCGAAAATAAAATAAACGAGAAGAAAAGTGAATATAAGATGGGGAGAGGGGGGAAAAGAGCACGCGTTGAACACATGTATCATTGTCTTTTTAAACTTTTGAATGTTCTTAAAATTTGTTTTGCCCTTTTACCCACATTTAAAATGTGGGTGAAATTTTTTTACTAAATTATTAAATTCTGTTTTACTAAATTACTATATCATAAGAAATAAATTCTGAGAGAATTAAGAAAATTTAAAATAAAAAATTAATTTAATCTAATTTTAATGGTATACATGTAAAAAGTTACTTAAAATTCAACTTTTAACGAATCCTGATCGCTATATCGCGAAGGGATATACTTGGCGTTAATACCAAAAGAAGGATATTTAGATAGAGAAGAAAGTTGTTTACAACGCAACGTCGATACTATGATACTTTCAACGTTACGTATTTTATCGTTATATTTATTACTATATATATTACTGTATTATTACTCTTTATTACTGTACATTATCGAGAGAGAAAGAGAGAGAGAGAGAGAGAATGTGTGAGTACATGTGTGTAATTTAATGGCGTACCGGAAATATCTAATGGACGCTGCTGTCTTCCCACGTTGGGATTCTGGCATAGCGCGCGCGTGATTCCGCGTTACAAACTGTAATTCAGAATGAAGTATTTTTAAAGCAATATTTTATAATGACAATTAAACGCTAAAATATCCTTCGAGATATGTGTTTTGAAAGTACGCAAAGATTTTCAAATAAAAGAGAGCAACAAGTCTACGCTATATTGAGTTTTTTTTTTAAATTACTGAGTCAATTGTTAAGTTTCATTTTAGCTTTAGTTCCCAATTTAACTTTTCGGCGGTTATAGTATCGTGATGTGCTCTCTTGAACATTTCGAACATTTCTATTCTCTCACTAGTAAACAAAAAAAAATTCTTTCAACTTCTCGCAGAGACACAAAGATATAATGTTAAAAAGATCTTAGCTGCGTAACGAAAATTATATTAACTTTATTTAAGCGTCATCTTTGTAAAAAGAAGTTGCTATTTATACTACTATCACACGCTGTAGAAAAATTAGTGACTAATATTTCTGATATAAAGACAGAAGTGACAGAGTTATATAAGCGACGAAAGTGCAAGTGGTTTTTACTCGGGTGGACCTTTACAGAGTCGCGGCTTCTCTACAAAAAAAAGGAAAGAAAAAACAGAAGCAGAGATCCGCCGAAATTTATGGACCCCGATTTTGTAACTCGTCGTAACCTATTCACCGTGTTGTTGTCTGTAAAAATTTTCGAGCGAGGTGAACGGTGGAGAACGCGTTTCTGTACAATAAATTAGTGATTCCGACTTCGATGTGTTTTCGCGTGTTCGATATGATGATCGATCGAGAGAACGACTCTCTACGTTGAGTGTCGAGACACGGATTTTTTTAAATCTACGATGTAAGATTATGCCGCGTAATTTGCACGGTCGGGTGCATCAATGGTGTCCGGCGCGTTTACGTTCGCATTTCTCTGTAATACGTAAGAAGCGTGTCCTCTCGCTTATATAACGGATTATGTGTGATTTAACTACCTACCGCAGGAAAGAATCGTCGAGTCATATCCTGTACATATCGGATCGCCATTAACGCACCCGACAGTACGTACGATTATTGACATCATTTATAAGTCAATTCGACTTAAAATGCATCCGCATGTCTTACTTCATGCGTGATATGACGGTCGAGAATATAGGATGAACTATTTAAAAGATTCTTTCAGTTGTTACGCTAGGACTTTTGATAAGGAACGCGCAATGTTGAAGTTGTGTACATAGAACTGGCATATAATTAATTTATATATATATAAATAAATAATATACATATATATAAATTATATATACATATATATCTTAAATCTAGCGCGACACAATAATTTAGGGTACAATTGTTTTAGAAATAAATATTAATCGCTAATTACGTTACTTGTTCAATATCTGTATAAGTCTCTTTTCTGTTTGAAAGCAATGATATAATAACTCTTATTTAATATATAATGTTGCAATTTTCAAATTTATCAAAATTATTGGATTTCTACTAACGCTCAGTTGAAATTAATCAATATACAGATAGATATTTTTATGATTAAGTTTCGAGTAAAACGTACGAAACAGTCGAAATTAAATTAAAAAATGTATCCTTCAATGTATTCAATTTGCATTTTGTACTTCAATTTGCATTTTTCTCTAAAAGGAGCTATTTATTTGAATAGTTTATCAAACTTAGCCTTTTACCTGATTATATTTTTTTGACCGTTAATTTTTGAAAATTTAAATTTTGAAGATTTGCTAAAATACCGACAGTCGATAAAAGCGAGTTAATCAATTTATCGATTATAAATAATATCCATGCACGGAAATATGCTAATTATGAAGAAAATTTTTAATTGTTGATCTCTTGTCGATACTCCATAAATCACAAAAATTTAATTTATTAAAAATTAATTTAAAAAAAAGCAAACAGCCAGTGGCAGTCATAATTTTTGTTTCTACTTTTTTTAACCAAAACATTGTAATGTAATTTTCTTAATGTTCACGCAATTGAAGTTTTAATTAAATACATAAAGATTTTTAATTAATCATTTCTGGTAGCATGCAAAAAGGACGTGACAAATAATAAGACCTTTGTAAAATAATTATGTATTTAATCCAGAATGCTGTTACTTCTTCTCAGCTTTTTTCGCGCTCTTACTCGCTGCGTCGCCAGCTTTAACTTTAGCTTTCTTAGTCTTCTTTTTTAATCTGTGAAACGCATCTGTTCGCAATTTATTTCTTATCTGCCTTGCTTTACGCAGCTTGAAGCGGTCGAAGTCGCTGAGTTCTGCACGCTGAAATAGAAAACAGATATTTTTAAAAATATAAGATTCCAAAAAACATTATTTCTAAAGTTACAAATTATATATCATCAGAGTCGAGTTAACGTCATCAATAAAGTCAGACGGCATTTCCTATCATAAATACTGGTTCATCATATATTCAAGCATCTTTTTTATAAAAATAATTTTTCGACATAAATTTTCTTTTTTTTTTAAGATATAAAATTGCATTATTACCATTTGCTATGAATAAAATAAATATAATATTTATTTAAAACAATAAATATTAATTATTAGCATAATAAATAATTAGCAAATTCTTTGATACCTTCTTCTTTGCTTCAACTTTCCTGGCCCACATCGTCTGTTTCCAGAGTTCGTTGATTTTAGCCGTGTTCCATGCTTTACGTACGACACGAGTGGATCCCGAGAATGGGAAACGTAAACGGAATTTAGTCAGATGCAGTTCGTTGAGTCTCATCTCGCAACGAGGTACACCTGACGATGGACCATCGACTAGAACCTGAACAGAATATTAGTTTTAAGATCTGAAGAACTTAACAGATGGTTGGTTTTGTAGAAATCACAACTATATCATCAGAAGAAAATTAACATCACCAAAGTCAGTCGGCAATTCCTATCATATTATTGTATAATCATTTTTTACAAAAATATTATAGAAACATATAAAAGGTACATAATATTTTTATTTTTAAATTTATATTTTGTTTGTTTTTGTTAATTTATATTTAAAAATTATATCTTATTTAATATTTTTAATGTAAAAATTACAGTTACTGTCTACAATATAGGATAGCCAAAGAATAAGACCACTGTCCACTCGCTGTGTGATAAAAAAATAACTATAATGTTGCTACTATGAATATATCCATCAGTATGTCAGCTATTGAAAATTGTTTGATACTATATAATTCTATAATTCTTTCATATAAAAAAATTTAAGTTATTTTCAACAGAGAGAAATGTTCTTCCTACCCGATTCTGGTCGATGATATCCACGATGGTAACCAGTTTACCCTGATGAGAGCCATCGCTCACATAGGCTACGCGGCCAGACTGCACAAACCTCTCGAACGGCTGTTAAAAAAAGGACGAAATATTACTGTATCTCTCAATTTATATTAAATGTCTATAATATGCATTTCAATCAATGTAGATTTATTTTAATCTCGTTTAACTTACTTTCTATTTTTTTCTAGTTCTAAAAATTAGAAAAAGATAGAAAGCAGGTTAAATTTGATAAAAATGGACATTGTGATAAATTATCTAGTAATATTAAAATTTCATGATGCGCAGTGTGCTTCTATATTTCATGGATATTACTTCAATTAATAAAAATTTCGTGCAAAAATATTAATTTTAATAAGTTTGTATATAGGTCTTTGTTTCAGTAACACTCAAGAGATTCGCTGAATTCGAAAATTCCGAATTAAAATCTAATGTGAAATAAGAATTTACCGTAGCGTTCAACGGACTCGATGCACGAAGCTCCGAGAAAGGGGGGCGGGGGTTAAAAAAAATATATCACGTGAATAAATGACGATATTATACCGAGTCGCGCCGTTACGAGTACGCGAAATGCGTACTCCAGATTCCCGTAAGAGGATCCACGCCATCCACGGCAATGCGCCATGCGGCTGACAAACGTTCGTCCAGTGAGGTTAAGTCTCGCGAAAATTTGCAACGCGAAGCGAGTACGTTGCTGAGAACCGCGAGCATGATCGTGAGAGAAAAGTAGGATTTGCAGAAAATTTATCCGATCACTGTTTGCACGACTTTACGCGACCGTTTACTCGCTAGACATACAAGAAGTATTCCACTCACCATGATCCTCCGGAAGCGAAAGAACCATCAAAGAACCATGCTCTGCCCTCTGCCACAGTTCGACGAGTAACGATCCCTATCACGTGTCATAGGGATTTTTCTCTCGGAGAAATCTAAAGCCCATATCACACTACAGATTGAGATGATTAAGGCCGGTATTCATAGTCAGACCTTATATTTAAGACCGTCTTAAGTACAATCTTAAGATGTTATGGACCAATCACAGAGCCGTAT